AAAGCATACGTGTATACCGCCGACAGCGACGTCTACGCTCTACTTGCTGACGTGGAGAGCGAGATCGCCAAGATGAGCGCTGATTCACGAGAGGAGTCGAGCAGCCCCCTCTCGGCCGATGAGCGGAAAGACATACACCGCGCTCGTAGCCACGAAATGCTGAATGGCAGAGCTGAGGATACATCATTCCTTGCTCCACCAACGCCAACCGGGCCCACGGACCCGTTTAACGACACCAAAACACCTTCCGCAGATGGCGAGACATTCTTCCTAACCAGCGCCGTTTTCAAGCCCTGAAACCACCACACAGCATCTCGGAGGGCTTGGGACGAGTCGTTTTCTTTCTTCGCCTTCGCAACATATTTGTATTTCCTACCACGCTCCCTACGTCGCAACGACTTCTCACGGCCAGTCTGCTCTACGATTCTTTGCTTTGAGCCTCTGCTCCAAATATCAGATACCCATTCGCATCGGCCTCTCAGGTACTTGGCATGTTTTCGTTTTTTTCTCCTGATATACTGCATATAACGTCTTCAGCTCATTGGTTGGTGTTATGGGCGTTCTATTTTCATGCCAGCATGATGACGATTTTTCTTCTTTCTTAACCATGTATTTCATAATCGACTTAGCATTGCCCATTGGCACTTTGGAGTCTTACTGTATAGCAGGGGAGGGCTGAAACAAGGCGGGGGGGCATATGTTGCGTACAGTGTTGGCTCGGTCGAGTACGAAAGGCTACACACTCGACATTTGAAGCCTCTGGGGCATCCTCTCGTGTTTCGGACTACGTAAAGAAAAGTAGAGAAGAAGAAAAAAAAAACATGTCACCAGTACTCCAGGTTCTCATTGATCAGTATCGGATGAAAAAAGATCAGCAGGAGTGCCGTTCGCTGTTTTTGACATCAAACGGGGGGTAGGCCAATGGGCGAACGGCTGACATGGTAGTGTTTCTCAATCAGGTTGATCAGCAAAGAAGTCTCCGGTCGCCTCGTGGGTTTTGAGCGGCACTGAAGCGCTGATCACATCAATCCCCAGCGATCGGCAGTGCTAGGGCTGTCTGTCGGTGGAGTTGCGAGAGCGTCACAACAATGCGTGACGGCCTGACCCGGCCGACTGCCTAGATAGTTCGAGTCTTTCTGTTTTCCAACGAAACGAGCGAGTTGTCGATACCATGATGGGAGGCACCACCAAAACGACCAAACCATGGCCAGTTGTTTTCGAGGCTCAACATGCGAGGGTCGTGGAGTAACTGCGCGTTGCTCGCCCGAGGGTGATAGGCCGATTTGGGGGTCCGATCCCCAATGCAACATGGCAGAAAATCGAACGAAGACTGCCGCCTCTCGTGCCTGCCATCTCATTGTCAATCTCATTGGGGCCATCGCCTCTCTCCGGGTGCAACAAAAGTCAATCTGGATGAGGTTCCAACGGTCAGCGATGGCGAAGCGACGTTGGAAACGGGTCAAGGCCCGTCGTGGCGCGTCTCTAGCCCCGTCTCACAAGAGGGTGGAGTGGGGGGAGGGGTGTCCAGGGAGGGGAGGACCCCCCCCCTTGTATAAGACCGTCCCGGGTCACTGAAAGAATCACCCCCGCCCCCTGGGCGTGCAGGAGCACCCTATACCTCGCCTCCTCCTCGCTTGGCACCCGACCTTGAACTCTTCCACTGCAGCGGGTTCCCCTGCAGCGGTTCCCCTGCAGCCAGCGTGCCCAACGCACACCTGCCCCCCCGGGGCCGGCTGCGCTATCCTTCCTGGTGGTTCAGGCTCGCCCAGACCCGTGGGACGAACGGGCATGGCAGACAGCGCGAACGAGGGGGGAGGGGGGGGGCGATGGGGCTACTTCGACTGCATCTTGCGCTACCCACCCATGGCCGGTACCACACAGCGCCCGCGTCGGCGTTTGAGCTGGAGAAATGGAAGGTCACATATAGCCCTGTGATGAGAGAGAAACCAACCCCTACGTACTTTGCCTTGGATGACCCGGCCAGCCTCGAACGCCTCCTCCGAAGGGCTTGGTGGTTCCAGACTTTTCTGGCCGGTCCTCCTCGCCAGCAATCTACATGGCTGTGAGCAATCTGGAGGAGGGCCTCGCCGGCGGTGTCAAAGCAAGAGGAGAGGGGTATTGCGTTGGTGTTCTGCTTGGTTCTTCGCTCCGTCTCTGTCTCTGTCTCTGTGTGTGTCTCTCTCTCTTCTGCCTCCTCACTTCCTTCTTGCCTTTCTTGTATCCCTCTTTGCCCCGCCTACAGCTGACAGGGACTCTCCCCCCACTCTTCCCCCGAAGAAAGGCTTTGACAGGACGTGTCTAGAACACACACAAGGCGGCGAGAAAGGAGGAGGGGGAGAAGACGAAGAAGAAGAAGCAGAGGGAAATGACGACATGAGAACCACAGGCGCGTTGCAGAGTGATGGGCAACGAGTAAGAAGGCGTCAGCGTCTCGGAATTCGGTCGCCAAGAGGAATGGTCGGCTCGGAACATTCAGAATTGGGACGAAACCGCAGGAGGATCAAATTCCGGGCCGCATGGTTGTTGGGATGAACGTGGTTTCGAAGGACAAGAGGAGACGGAAGAGAGGGGGAGGGCGGGGTGACGGTCTCGAGTAGAGGCTGGTTGCGAGGGACGCCTTTCTTGGCTGCTGTCAGACGCGGAGCCACGTGTGTTTGATCGTGTCTCCCAGGATTCGATACCCCACGCCACACATGCTGGATGCCTTTTAGGAGGTGTTCTGAGAAATCCACCTCCCGGGGTCTGGTTTGGCAGGGTCGAGTCACGTACCGAGGCCCTTCAAGCGATGCAGCTCCTCCTCCCTAACTACCTACGTACCTCAGCATCCTGTCAGTAGGCATGAAGACTACCTACTAGCTGAAGGACGAGGTGGTGGTGAGCCGTCAGAACTCCTCCCCCCCCCTTCCCCCTCACCTATGGGAAATGAAGTTGCGGGAGGGGGTCAATCAGGGCGGCTGACTCGGTGTCGAACGCTGTGGGTATGCTCCGCGTGTGCCCTTCATTTTGGGGGGAGGTGGTATTTCTCATGGGGCTGTGGGGACCCCTGATGCATGATTTCCCTTCACATAGCCAGGCTTCTAGCGATGCTATCCGAGAGTTGCCTCAGCCCTTGGCTTGGATCTCTCGCCTTCGCTAAGTTAAGCGGGAGAGGGAGGTAGGATACGCCCCCTCTCCTCTCTCTTCCCATTCACACGGCATCTGCCGTTGGAGGGGGGGTACTCAAACAATGGCCTTATTAATCGGCTCCATCAGCACCACGTGTGTGACGTGAGCCAAACCGGCCGCAGGGAATTGGGGCTTTGCATGTTGGCGAGACGATTATTGATCGTCATATAGAGAGGTCCACCCCGGAACTTTTCCACTTGCCGCACAACGTCTCCAGACGCGGGGTCAGCCTGCGTGTAGGGATGCAGTGGGCAGGACCTCAGGTCGCAGGAGGGGGACCGAACACCAAGGCTACCCAAGGCTACCCAAGGCAACGCCACCGCGTCGTCGCGGACCCTGGGCCAACTTTTCGGAGCCGCCGAGGCGAAAGTTGGGTGGGACTATATATCACGCAGACCCAAAGCGAGATGAACCCTGTCTGCCCGGCGGCCTGACCTACCCCTGCTGCGAAAGGTCGGGCCTGCCCCAAGGGATCGGTCCGGCTCATGCCTTTTGCGGCGGAGGTGGGCAGGCTTTGGCCGGGGGCTGAAGGCTTTCCGGGCCCCCTCGGGATGGACCTTTTTGGAGGGGCGAACCTGGGTTCCAAACCCCTCCTTTTCTGGGGGGGGCGGGGTCGGGTTTGGCAGGTGGCGGGCCTTTGACAATAAGATAAGGAGGCGGAAAGAGAAAGAGATCGTGAAGAGCCTGGCAGCGGTAGATGCGTCTATCTGCATTTGCAAGTCAAAAATGACGGTTTCAAGACACCGGCTGTTCCACATGCTGCCGATGAAGAGACGGCGGCGGGCCTTTTTTGACGGATGACGCGGAGTGGAGGGGGGGCGGCGTCTGGTCGGCTGAATGCCTCTGAGACTGGTGCTTTTTGATCTCTCTGCGTGCCCTTGGTTACTGACGTGGGGTCCGAGGAGGACGGACAGAGGGAAGCCAGCTTGCTCAACTTGTGTGTCCTGGCTCTAGTGCAATAGCAGGTCTGCCTGAGCGACCTCGCGTGTGTATAATGTGCTGTAGCGGCAGGATTACCAGAAACGCTTGCTCACATAGGAGTCGGCTGCCTGATCTCGAGGAATGCAAGTGCTGCTTTTATTTTTAGGAAACAAATACTTGGTCAATCATCTATGCTACATGACTCTGGAAGTGCAACTCTACTTTGTGATCCTCCGAATATAATACACAGCGTTAAGAAAAGAGTTTGGGGGCACAGAGTCTCCCTTGAGCGCCAGTCTGCTCTCATTATAAGATCATCATTATAGTCGTGCAGGCAGGCCATCTTATGTGCGTCCCGGCAGGTGTATCGACAAGACAAAGAAAAGACTAGGTGGTGCGTGTAGGCCGGGTCTACCGTACGTCGAGGAATAGATCATCACCCCTCCTGGTCGGGGTAAGCGTAGGGTGCCATCCAGGGGTCGTCGGGGGCTGCAGCGACTGCTCGTCTCGGGAGAAGGTGTTGGTGTTCTCCTGCTCGCCGTCGCGGTTGTTGCGGCGCCACCGGTTGCCTGCCGCCAACTCATCGCTCTGCAGAGCCAGGCCGGCCGCGCGCTCGCTGCCCAGACGCTTGGTGGCGAGAGAAGAAAACGAGGAGCACGAAGAGGATCCGTCAGAGCGATTCGGCCGCGGGAGACCAGGCCTCTGCTGCAGCTGCTGCTGCTGCAGGTGCTGCTGCGGGTGCCAGTGGTACTGGTGCTGGTCGTGGTGCGTCGTGGGCGCCGACGGCGCGGGGCCGTCGTCGTCCCAAGGCGCACGGTAGGCGGTCGTGTTCTCGGGCGCCCAGAGCGCGCGGTAGACCTGATGGACCAGTTGCGGATCTGTCGGCCCCTCTGCCTCGTATATCCTGGCGGCCTGTGCCTGCTGCAACGGGACGTCGGCCCTCTGCGGTTGCGGCCGCTGAAGGCGTAGTGGTTGCGGATGCGGCGAGGACGACGGCGAGCGGGATGGCGGTACCATGCGCAACGTCGGCGAGCCTGTCCTGAATTGTGATGGATCAGGACGGGGAAGCGACAACAGCCCGCCTGGCGATGGCACAAGCTTCTTTCGGTCGGGATGCCGAGAGGGCACAACCTGACTTGCCATCTCGTTCGGACCTCTGGATGCTGCTCCAGCGGCCGGCTGCATCAGGCCGAGCGTCGGACTAGGCTGGCCGGGTGGAGATGAATACATAGGCCTAACGGGCGGTGGATTGACTTGCAGATTTGACCTATTCAACCGCCCAGGAATCTCGGGGTAGGAGACTGGGGATCGCCCGACACCCGAGTATGGCGATTCGACCACGGGAGAGAGGCTGCCCGGCTCGGGTGCACCATCGTCTCCATCGAAGCCTCCGCTCGAGCTGGAAATGGTTGTAGCTGATTGCTGAGACTTGTAGGAATCGTGGCGGTCAGTGCCGTCCTGGCTGACTCCTTTCCGGTGTGAACGGCTTTGACTGAGGCTGTTACTCCTGCGGCGCGGCGGTTCCGGGTGGGAGAAGCTCATGGGAGGTATTTGGTGATCAGGCAGACTCTGGGCTTGGGCAATCTGCTCTGGTCCGGTCCCGGGCCAGACAGTCAGGGGGCGAGCCGGTAGCACATCTTGAGCCGACTTGATGTGTGCTGGTGGAAGCAAACCCAAGCTCGTGGGTAGCGCAGGTCCCTTGGGTGCCGAAGGGGCCACTGGACTCCCGGCGCCGTGCCCAATGCCGACCTGTGAAGCTAGAGATGCATTCACAGCCGCCAATTTGAACGTCTTTCCGCTGGTGGATGCAGTCAATGGTGTTGGTGCCTCTAATTCAGCAAGCTCGGCAGCTTGGGCCTTCGATTTTGGGTTTCCTAGAATCCAATTGCCGTATGTGTCAGCGACATAATATGTCGTTGCAGACTGTGGGTTTGACGACGGAGGTCGCCAGACCTGTGAGAAACCTCGGCCCACCAGTGATGGGTGCCCAGAGCCATCCTCTTCGAATTCCGTCATGGTACTCTCGCGGAGGTTAGCATGAACAGGCGGTGGAGCTGTCAGCTGCGCGACCTGGGCTGCTTGAATCTGAGAGTCTGTCTGGTGATGGCGCTGTCTACCTTGCCCTTCGGATGCATGAAGGGCAGGGGGGGTCGATAATGTGAGGCTGACCTTGGGAATTGTCAACGACAGCATCGGCCTTGGTGGTGAGTCTGGCTTCGGCGGTAAAAGCCTTGAAGTTCTTCGGTGGAAGGGAGACTTGACGACCAGCCTCTGCTCGCTTGTCGGTCGTGACACGGCCAAGCCAATGGCGTCTGGACGCCAGCTTTTTCTTGAATAGTCAACAGGCCGAAGCAAGGGTGATTTGCCGTGGATGGGTGGGGAGATGTGGAAAACATTGTCCTGTGCCTCCTTGGGGTTAAAACCCCAGGAGTCACGATTGGTGATGGACGTCGACCTGTTGTCGGATCCAGAAAGCTGCCTCTTTCTCCTTCGCCGGGCGAGCACAAACGCTGCTATCAATATGCCTGCAACTGCTGCAACACCGACTGAGAGGCCGACAAGCTGTGCCGTTCCGAGTCCACCAGAATCGTCATCGGTAGGCTCAGCTTGCGCAGGTCCTGGCGTAGGGGTAAATTGAGAGCTCGAAACATCAGTGGGAGTCAAATCTGAGGCGGACCCGGCTTCATTGGATGAAGTGGCCTCTCTAGTTGAGGTTGCCAGAGTCGTGATACTTGTTGTGCGAGATGCTGACGTAGGCGTACGTGATGTTGTCGCCAATGAGGATCGCGTCGAAGAGCTCGTGGAAGTCTGGGGGGAAACCAGCTTGACGCCACCACCAGTAGCCGGGATGATAAAAATGGCCTCAATGGCCGTGTGTGTCGGGAGCGCGGCGCTAGGCTGACCAGCGCACATGAAATATGCCGTGTCTATCGTGTTCCCTTTGGTGGTCTGTTAGCATTCATTTGCTCATGTTGCTTCGCTGATTCGCCTCGGCTTCACGTACTGTCAATCTCCCCAGCTGCGCAAGATCCTATCGACTGTTCCGCTTCGATACATTGGACTGCGCCCTCGCCAATGGTGAATCCCGAAGTGCCCGTCTCAGCACACAGACACTCGAGTGATGTAGTCGTGTCGCAAGACGTCTCGGCAAAGTTGTCGTTGAGAAAAGAGATGAGGCACCCGCTTGCGCAGTTTGGAACGAAGCGTGCGAGATGCCCCGTGAACCTGAATTGTTCCGCCGCAATGGCGACGCTGAATAGTGCAAAGGCCCAGAAAAAGCTGACAAACGGCTTGGGGACCATCCTAGGAAGGGACATCTTACACTGTTAACGCTGCGCACAATGAAGCAATCGTCGCGTCAGCTTACCTGAAGACCTGTCCCATCCTTCATGCGTTGCAAGGAAATGGCGTTGAATCGCAGCTGGTTATTGAGAGTAGAAAACCCGCTAGAAGGTATGATCTGCAGCAGCACGATCTGATGGACGGTGTTGATTATAGAATATTGAGTTCCAAGCCATAAAAGATCAACAGAAAAGGGATATCATTCAAGACGTCCAGCATCCCATGTATGAAACAGAGTGACAAGCGGCCAGAGATGTGACCGTAAGTCCGGTCCAAGGAAAAAAAAATACAAGCTGCGGAATGAAAAGAATTAAGCTTCGCTTGAGTAGAGAAATGGGGGAGGAGACGAGAGAAGGAAGGGGGACCGGGCAAGTACGAGAAGATCTAGGGGCCCAGCGGTTCATGAAGAGATGGACATGCAGAGTGGTCGCGTCTGACAACACGATGAAACTTGATAAAGGACTAGATGTACAAGCGGGTGGCCCGCGTCTACAGACCTGGGCTGCAACCATGACTGAGCCCCCCGTCTCGGGGTTCTCAGATGCCGCTCGTCATTGTGGCAGGCTCCAGACTCGGCGCCAACAGAAGTGACGGATGGCCACCTTGCTCTCGTGTGATGCGCCTTCTGGTTTCTGCAGTCGCGTTGCACCGCTGGCCCCTGGTGCCTGTTCGTTTGGGGGCGCCAGGATGCGGAAGATCGCCAGGGCTGACGAAGGGGCGGCCCAGTACCCCGGCGTCACCTACGCAGAACCTCTGAAAACTGAGCGGAAGATTCGAGTGGAGCGGGCCAGACGCACGCCTCTAGTCGCTGGATGCCTCACACACTCAAGTCTGGAACTCCCAGGAGCACTTGTCGGGCGCTCGCCAACAACAATGGTTGGCCAGGGCATGGCTGTTTCGGGGGCCAAGGTGTTCCATCTGGATGTAGGTCAGAAGGCTCTGCGGTACTTTCGCACCAGTCCAGCACACCACGTTGAAGAGTCCAAAGCCTGTCGTCCAATCGACTGGAGGGTACGAAGACGCTGGCATGCATCACGGCCGGTCGTGGTTGGATGTTGCCGATCCCGAATCTAGGCGCCCTGGTAAGCGCGGAGCGAAGCGCTGGATCGAAATATGACGTCTGAGTCACGTGTCTGTATTGAGTCAGCCTTCTCGTCCAATCATCATAGTTCATTTGCCCGTTTTGTAGTCGCCCAGCAAGCCAAACGCTGCGACTCTGCAGCCATGATGCTCACCGGCACGTTTCAAGGACGCTGTCAATCTCATCCTGAGAGCATGACGATACCGGAGACTTGCAGTTTGCTTCTTAGAGACCGGTGGCGGTCGTCAGTGGCACATGATGACATTGGGGTTTTCCTGAATTGACTACGGAACAACCCCCAACGCAACCTGTCCATTGAATCCAGCTTGGGGTCAAATCGAGGAAATAGCGATCTGGGACGCGACTTAAACTTGGACTTGCAGAGTGGTGACATGGCAGAACTAGATTCTTCAGCTCCGACGCCGCCCCCGTTCGGGCGTGCTTGGCCTCCATCGCTCACATGACAGGAGAATGAATGAAGAAATAGCTCATCGTTCCCGTAGTCTCATTCTTGGTATCTTGCGTGTCATCCGCTTCATCTACTTTTCACCAAAAACGGTCAGGCCATAGACCTCACCTTTGCGCAGCTCCCTCGGCGCCATAAACCACCCGCCCTCTCCTGCCTTTCCCTTCGCTGACCATCGTTACCATCGTCGGCTCGCCAGCCTCTATGCGGGCGTCGTCGCAGTGGGCTCGGCGCTTGGAGCCGCTTCGCTGGCAGCAGCTGCTTTGGCAGCATCTGTGGCACTCGGAGCAAACGCAGCCTTGGCACGGTTGGATTTGATGACCTTTTGCACGGCTTCTTCGGCAGAGTCCCAATCAGACGTGTCGAGCTGGACGAGATCGATTTGATACAGCTCAGCAATTGCCGACAGAGCCTGGAAGCTCTTCTTGTCCGAGACAAAGCTGATACTGACGCCGATGCGACCGAACCGGCCGGTTCGGCCAATTCGGTGAAGATACGTCTCCGGGTCAGGCTCGGTATCGCCTCGTCCCTTCATGGGGATGTCGTAGTTGATCACCATCGAGACACTAGAAACGTCGATACCTCGGGCCAGCACGTTGGTTGTGAGCAAAACCTTGGAACGGCCGCTTCGGAACTCCTCCAAAAGTCGATCGCGATCGTTACCATCGAAAGCGCCATGCAGTGCCGCTACTCGGTGACCATCTGCCTCCATGCGCTTCTGGATTTCGTTGGCGCTCTCGCGAGTCTGTGGTAGAAGTGTCAGCATGCGGTTCGCTGAGTACTGTGACTGACAAAACACGTACCCTGACGAAGATGACCGAGGAGCCGATAGTCATGAGGCCGTAGAGTTTGACAAGATTCTCGTATTTTGAATCTTCACTGTCACAGTCGATGTACATTTGCGAGATGCCAGACACTGTAAGCTCCGTGTGCTTGAGTCGGATCTGATCAGCGCCCTGGGCAAACTTTTCGGCAAAGCCCATAACCTTGTCGGGGAACGTCGCAGAGAACAGGAGGATCTGAATGTTACGGGGTAGAGTACTGGACGGTGTTAAGGTTTGATCAGCCGTGCGGGGTGGCGAGGATGGAGCCTTACCTCTTGACTCGGACACACTGATCACCGAGGCCTTGCTGGTCCAGCATGCTGTCGGCCTCGTCAATGACGAGGAGACGAAGCTGGGAGACGTCGAGTTGCCGGCGGCGAGTAATGTCCATGACGGTACCGGGCGTGCCCACGATAACATTGGCCTGGACAGGAGCGCCACGCTCCAGAGCGCCTGGGAGAGCAGCAGCAACCTTGAGACCCTCACAAAAGTTTCCGATCTTGTTTATCACACCTTCGATCTGGCGAGCAAGCTCACGGCTGGGCGCTAGAACAAGGGCCTGAGGCTGGTTGGGTTGACTCAAGTCGATGCGAGACAAAATGGTGACGACAAAGGCAGCAGTCTTGCCGGTTCCCGACTGAGATTGCGCGATCATGTGACGAGGAGGGTTTTGGAGCATGAGAGGAAGGGCCTTCTCCTGGATCTTCGAAGGCTTGAAGTAGTTCAGGTTGAGGAGACCTTTGAGGATAGGCTCGGAGCTGTCATAACGAAAGTCAGAAACAATTCGGCACACTACACCCGTTTGTGGGGGACGGAACGGACAGATTCATCTCCTTGAAGGTCTTTGCTGAGTAAAGAGTGCTATCGGGATTCTGTTGAAGATCACCCAATTTGATGTCGACGTCGTAGCTGTTCTCGACGAGGCCTGAGTCGGCGCCGTCGAGCTGGGCGTCCTCAAGGTTGGCAGGGTCGCCCTCGGCAGGAGGGTTCGCGGGGGGGTTGGCGTCGGCCATTGCGCTTCGTCCGTTCGAAGTGAAAAAGCCAGGCGGTTGCGTTTCAAGGTGACGGGCTTTTCGAGGCCAATCAATCGCACAGCCAGGTCGTTGCTGCTGCTGTCAAGTGCGTTAGACGAGGAGGGCGGTGATGGGGAAGCTGTGAGTACTAGGTAGGCGCGATTTCATGCGCGAGGATAGAGGTGGGGGGGGGGGGGCAGACGTACTGGGCTAACACGAACTGTGTGGTCGCTGAAGAATCTTGATCTCAGCACGAATAAAGCGGTAAAGCCGTGCTTTCGAATCGTGTTGAGCTGATTTATCGTACCTATGCACAGGTGTCAAAGACTCGACAGGTCCGATTTCCAAATTTGGGTGGAAATTCTGAGAGCTCCTTTCCAGGTGTTGCCTGACAGGAGCGGCAAACATGGCGGGGCAACAGCTCAGATCAGGTACCTCGCCAGGTACTGCTGGTGCTGGGCGCGGGGCATCACGGGCGTTTCTACCGAAGATCTACCGTTCGAAGCAGCCCGGGCGTGCTTGCCTGCGGTTGCAGGAGGCAGCTCCAAGTACCAATGACTATCCCTGAATGACCTTCCTCTTTCCCCACATCCATTGATGGGCCGACAGTCGGTCGTCAGACCATTGGACCGAGCATCCGGAAAAAAGCCACAGGTGACGAAGGGCAAAGCGAGGTACCTAAGGTTAGGTACTTGGGCAAAGTACGGCCAGCTGTGCCTGACGTGAGGATAAGATCGACCCGGACAACCAGGAGCCTCCCACAACTACCTGCCCTACCTTGCCTTCCAAGGTACCTATGTACAGAGAGGGAGGCACGGAACGAAGGCTGACGACGTCCTGGCTTCGTAATCTACTTCACATCCAAAAAGAGTTCTGCTCGAGCTCGATGCCTTACCTTGATTACATTTAACCTTTCTGCCTCTGTTCCCATCACGAGTCTGTCTGTCTACCTATTTGACGTAGGTCAGGTAGCCAAGCTGAAATCCACCCGCCTGCTACCTCAACCCGTCTTGGACCTACCTCGACTTACCTACCTACATCCATCTCTCCAAGGCACCTCCAACTAAGGTGGTGCGCCTGTGCCTCGCATTCGCAGCTTCTCGTTGGTGCCCACATCACTCCAACTCGACTGCTGCCAGTCTTTCCGCTTCGGGTCTCCGTGCCGTACGAACGACGCCTTAGCTCTGCCACTCTGGCTACCAAGAGGTACTTTCGGCCCTCCAACCCAGGCGGGGTTCATTTGAGGCCAGCACCGCCCACCCACCCAGCTTCTCCACGCTTTGCGCATTGATCTGTCTCTCGAGACTCTTCAATCACTTGTCGCATGCGCGCATTGGGCTTCAAGAGTCTCCAAAATGGCTGAAGTGGACGCCCTGCCCACGTTTGGCGCCGAATTGAAGGTACGTTCCAGATGCTCACGGCATCAAACACGCACCCGCGCGCACATACACACATGCTTCGTTGTCCCCTTCTCTGCCCCCTCGCCTGAGATCATGGACTGCGCCTTACACGATCCCATAGGATGGCTTCAAGCCCGCGAACGCGTGGGTCGGCCACGGCATCACCTGGCTCGAAGACATACAACAATTCTACCGGGAACGAAGCGCCATCGAGAAGGAGTATTCTGGAAAGCTGAATGCGCTGGCGAAGAAGTACTTTGAGAAGAAGAATAAGAAGACAGCGGCCCTCAGCGTAGGCGACACGCCCACCATGACGCCTGGCTCACTGGAGAGCGCATCCTTGACGACCTGGACGACGCAGCTGACGACGCTGGAAAATCGCGCCGACCAACACGATCGATATGCCAACAATCTCGTTTCGCAAGTGGCCGAACCTCTACGGTTCCTCGGCACGCGCTTCGAAGAGCTTCGTAAACGCCACGCCGACTTTGCGGCCAAACTTGAAGCCGAGCGCGATGCCCAGTACGCCGATCTTCGGAAGGTCAAGGCCAAGTACGACGCATCGTGCCAAGAGGTGGAGAGTAAGCGCAAGAAGGCCGAATCCTCCTACGACAAGGCCAAGGCGCAGAGCTCGTACCAACAGCACATTTATGACATGAACAATGTCAAGAATACATATCTCATCGCCATCAACGTAACAAACAAGCAAAAGGAGCAGTACTACCACGAATACATCCCCGAGGTCATGGACAGCTTGCAAGACCTGTCTGAATTCCGCACCGTCAAACTGAATGGCTTGTGGACGGTGGCGTCGCAACTCGAAGCTGGTCTCCTTCAGCAGGGACATGGTTTGATGGAGACATTAACATCGGAAATCACTCGAAACCAACCGCATCTCGACTCCATGATGTACATGCAGCATAACGTGGGCACCTGGCAGGAACCCGCCGACAAGACATTCGAGCCGAGTCCCGTGTGGCACGACGATGACTTGATGGTGGTCGACGAGTTTGCCAAGGTCTTCTTGCGCAACGTATTGGGCAAGTCCAAGGGCCAGCTGGGCGATCTTCGTCGTGAAGTGGACAAAAAGAGACGGGAGGTTGAGGGAGTGAAGACACTCAAGCAGCGAGTCCGCAGCGGCGCCGAAAAGAAGGACGAGGTCACTGTTGTAACGCAGCTCTTTCTCTGCAGGAGGAACTGCATGCTGTGGAC